GCTGGTGAAAAGCGAAGAATTCTTCAAGATGGTGACTTTTATTTTTATTTTTATTTATTTCTTTTGTATTTATCTTATTATCATATTACATTATTTATTATATATTTTTTACATGCTTTATAAATTTGTGTTTTTATAGTTGCCATGGAAAAGAACAAAGCAGAAGTGGATAGGCTGAGGGAACTTGAAAAGCAATTAGCAGCTGATCATGAATCTCAGGCAAGGATTGTGAATTTCGGTGCTACTTTGAAGCTCATGCCCAACTCCGATTCGAATTTAAGAGCTTCCGCTTCTGAAGGCTTGAATTGCAGGACCTTAGATAGAGGTTAAAAATTTTAACTAGTGTGTACTTAAATTAGCGTTAAATTCATTCCAATTTACTTAGTTTTCAGACATATTATATAATTCTTTCTAATTGAGCATATCTTAAACACCCTTATCGATTATTGAAAGAGAATCGTGAATGGAATATTTTAAATTTCATGATTTTCATTTACTGGTTTTTAACTACTGTTTCGGGTTCATGCAGCTCTAAATGGAAAAGCAATTTCTAAAAGACAATTTGATTCTGTCTTACAGCCACAAAATCAGAGGCAGAGATAGGGATCACAAAATGGGAAGCCGAACGCAGATCAATTCCCAATTTTCGCTTAGTGAAATCAGAACAGGAATCATGAATTTTGGCCAATTATACTTGGGATGAAATGAGTAATGTGATGGAAATTACAAGTAATAAATAAAGTTGATTTATGTAAAGCAAGATTGAGAGATTCTATAAAATGCTCACAGGAGGAACTGGTTAATGTTGAAAAGGTATGTTTTCAAGATTTGAGTGATTAGTTTGAATCCTTACAAATATAGGAATTGGAATTTATTCGTGATTGTTTTACAAATGTTCATTTATAAAATAATTAAATGAATTCAAACTCGTGTTTTTGTATTCCTTCATAAATTATTTTTAGTTTTTACAATGCAAATATTTGAGTAAAATTTGTGAAAATAATCAAAATACGAGTCCATCGTATTTTAAATTAAAAACAATAACAGCAACCCTCTAATTTGTGAAAATATTTAATTTATTAAAATTTCAAAAAATTTAAAGTTATAAGAGACAGACATAACTGGTTTAGACGAAAGCTTAACAACTATATTGAAAGCACATAAGATTAAAAAATATATATCTTTAATTTATTATTCTAGTGAATAGATGTGATTTAGAAAGAGAAAAAAAATCCGAATATAAAAAGGAAATTATAAAGGAATTCATTCAAGCGTATAAATAGTTGTCATTTATGAAGAAAGAAAAAATTTAACTTAAAAAGAAAATTATGAATGTAATTAATAATTTTATAGGATTTCAATATATATAAAATGGTAAGATAAAATGTATAAGGAATAAAAAATATAAAAGGAAAATGCTGTCATAATTAAGAATGAGGTTTCTACTTTATTATATACGTGTGGATAATCTACAAACAATTTTTCTATATTAAATATTTAATAAATTATATATAGCTTAGTCTTGTTAAATAAATTATGAGTTTAATTTATTTAATAAAACTTATACGTATAATTCAATAATGATAAAAGTAAATTAAAAATATTCGAATTTTAAAATTCTTAAACAAATGATATCAACCTGAAATTTAACTTTTTATTTACATATTGCATCGTTCACTTTATTTTATACTTTTATTTTCTTATTACCTTTCTCATAGTCATAAAAAAAGTTATATATAGAAATATATTGTACAAAATTAATTTCTTTGTATAGTACTCATAGTGTTGGCTAGGAGAATCAATCGTAAAAACAGTGAGAACAAAAAAAAAAGATCTTTGTTAACAAAATGTCAAAAAATCTTACAATTAGATTTAGATTCAACACTACACCCAATCCAAAATTTTAAGGTTATTAAGTTATAGATCTTTATCAGTACATGTTATTCAAAAAAATTTTATTCAATATAAAACTTTTTTATTCATACTTAATCTTAACACAAACACAAAGAAGAGTCAAAATATTTCTATACCCATACCGGATCCTATACTTACTCCAGATAGGTATCTTTGAAAAATGATTTTTCTTTATTATTTAGATTATTCTTAAATATAAATTTTTTAATATTATTTAATTTAACATCTATTCTATTAAAATAAAAACCAAATATTTTTCCTTCTTTTATTTTCAAAAGTATTTTTAAAATTAGTTTATAAAATAAATTTTGAAAATAAAACAAAAGCAGAATCAAATAACCCCAAAATTACATCATTTGTTCGGGTGATAACTGTTTTTTTTTTATGAAACTTAATATGAGGCTCCTCACTCGATCATTTGATTAAAATTTATATACAGATTAAACTATTATTATTATGCTAATTCAGCCCAGAACAACATGAGAATAATGGAGGAGAAATATGAACTCAATTGGGCCTTAGCACTATAATACAAGCTTGATTAAATTATGAGAGCCCACCACGGAAAATAGTAGCTGGATTTTTCTCAGCTTATTGAATCATTAGTTGCCACAATAAGCTTTATATCACTAGTTACATGAAAAAACTTATATAATGATTTTAAAAAGTTTGTTTTTTAAATAAAGATGCCAACAAATATTATACCTATTAAATAGTTATAATAAGTAGAAGAAATACTCAATAAATTTGAGTCCCAATATGAATTTTTATTCGGTGGTGCAGTGCTTGCCTCAATGATAGTTAGCTTCTAGTATAATCTAATTTTGGTAGCTTTTAGTATTAACACATCAGGGTTCTTATACTCGAGAGTGTAGTTTCTTCAATAAAAAATAATTTATGATTATTGAATGATCTGTTAAGAGAAGAAAGATAATTTATATACACATCTTTGTCTTTTTAAACGGATCATCTAGCAAATAGAGAGTGTTTTCAATATAATGAAGATCAAGTATCCACATTTGCATAGACTTGAATCGCTTTCTAAAAGCTAGTTTGAGGCATTTTCTCACAAGATGAATGAGTGTAAGACAGCACAATAAGTAGAACATGCTTCTGGGATGTAACATGGTGATTGTAGGGACGCGATCCTTTTTCTTGTCATTTTGGTATCTGGAGATGGGTATATATATTCACAGTTGCAATGTTCCTTTGACATGGACTCCAACTTGTGTAGATGTGCAGAGATTATTCTTTTGTATGTATATCTAATTATTGACACAATTATATTGTAGAAAAGCCACTTTATATGGTTGAGGATAGTTGAATAGTATAAACAAATTTATAAAAAGGGTACTGTTAGATCTAATTTTGGCCCCTCCAATTATTAGCTCCATCACCACACCACTCATTGCCATCTACACCCAGATTTTATTTGTTTTTAGCACTTTATTTAGAGATTGTCAAGCATATCCACGCAACTTCACGTGTTGTCCAGACATCCTGTACTCTTCTAATCGCTCTTGCACGTATTATTATTTCTCTTGTATTATTCCAATAATTAAAATTAATGTTATGTATAATTTTTTATTTATTTACATTTACATATTGGACATTTAGTTTTTGTGTGAATTAAAACAGATTTAATTCTCTCAACAAATTATTCAAAAATTACTTTATTTTGTTTATTATATCTCATTAAACTTAAATTGATCATTTACTTTAAAAAAATTTATAAAATAATTGTTAACAAGTTTGAACTCTTTGTTTGATAAAAGAGTGTAAACTTTGTTAAATAATAAAAAAGTAATTAAAACAGTATGTCGCTGACATCTGTATTTATATAACAATAATGATATTTTACTTACACTCATTCTTTTTAGTTATATTATTTTTATTATAATAAAAAAATTTCTATTTATCTTTATCTTGTTATTTCTTTTTCTCTCTTCTCTTCTTATTTCCCTCTAATTTGTAAAAGAATATTATATAATTTTACTATACAAATATTCTTTACTTTTTAATTATTATATTATTGATCACATTTTTTTTAGTTTCCTCTTTGTCCATTTCACTTTCACACCACACTAAAGGGTGTGAAAATATTCATCCTCGTTGACATAAATATAACACGATTTCCGCCTCTAGTAGCAATACACGTTGAGTTCATCGAATGAAATGGATTCCTCCATTAATCTTATACCCGTTCTCGCCACTACCAAAAGCTAAAATTGAAAAGGGGCCATTTATGATTTAGACACTCAACCAATATGCACAGATTCATTTATTATTGTGGTGATCGCCACCGGAATAAAAGTTGCCAATTGCTTTTGTTGGTGAAAATTTGAAAAACAAGTGGAATTTTCAAAGCCCCTTTTTTTATTTGGAGAGTGGAGAAAAACAGCATATATACTTGAAAATGTTAAGACCTGTGTGGTGCAGATAAGACCACTTAACCTAATAATAATTGGAATGGTTACACAACTTACTCCACCTTGTGCGCCTTTGCTTGACATGCAATTCCGTCTCAACCCAAATTTTGCGGTTTCATGAATCCAAAAGAATTAAGGCAAACTTAGTTAGCCAACAAAGAAGAATTAGAATATGAGTAATATCTTTTCTATATTTACTAGATGGTGTGTAAAAATATATATAAATATGTATTTTATAAGTAGACAAAATTTGGGTATAATATTTTAAGTATTTTTAGTGTTATTTTTAATTAAATTAGAGTTTTAATTAATAATGCATGTATGTCTCACAATATATAATTTTTAATAGATTATGGCATAAATAAAAATGATCTTTTCCTTGTCAAGGAACCGGTTGACCAAACGAGCTTCATTGGAGTGGTTCCTTTCATTGGGTGAGTGAGTGTGTGTGGTGGCCCACACTCCTCTTTTTCCGTGAGGTCACAAATGGAGTCGTTTACTGGCTTAGCACAGCAACCGAATAAGCTAAACGACAAATCTCTCTCATTGTGTGGGTGAGTCACAATCTTCAATCCCACAATCACACGTGATATATAATGCCTCAGTTTAACACCTTATTACCAAAGATAAAAACAAGATGCCAAGTTCTGTACCCACAATCTCTCTCTCTTCCCTGCAACGCAAACAACTATGTAAAAGCAAAACACTAATACCAAAACAAAAAAGCTCTCTTTTTCAACTATAAGCTTCATTTTGTTGGGTGCTGCAAATTCACCCCCCCCCCCCTCTCTCTCTCTCTCGCTGATGGGTTTTGGTAAAAGGAACATGTTTTAGCTTCTGGGCATGTCAAAGTTAAGCTCTTTATCACAAGGGCTTGAAGAGAAACTGTGCATTTGCTGAGAAGAACTGAAGAAATGCGTGGCCTTAAGCTCCCTGAACGCTTCAAGAGCACCCAAGTTCATGCTCTCAATTCCTCTGATAACAATAGCAGAAGAAACAAAGCTACTAAGGGTGCCATCACAATTAGATCATTGGTGTCAAAGTCTAAACACAATAACAGTACAACTTCAGCAGTTGCAAACCTTGTTGTTCCTCTTCAGCTACCTTCTGCTGACACGCTTGAACCTTCCATAGAGCCTTACCTTAAACCCATCAACCTTGTAGAGACCTTGGCTGATCTGTATTGCAGGCTAGAGTGTTGCCCTCAATCACAGAAAGCTTCACTGTGTGTGGAGCAGTTCACTCTGCTGCGTGGCCTTGGAGACCAGAAGCTTCTACGAAGATGTCTCAGGACAGCACGACAGAACGCTGAGGATGTGCTTTCCAAGGTTGTGCTTTCAGCATGGTTGAGGTTTGAGAGGAGAGAGGATGAGCTTGAGGGTGTGTCTTCAATGGAGTGTTGCGGGTGTGTTCTTGAATGTCCAAAGGTGAATTTGTTACATGGGTTTAGCCCTTGTTCAATTAATGGTAGGTGCAAGTGCCCCCAAGAGGCAAAACAGGAAGCTAGCACTGAAAGTGTGTGTTTTCCAGATGAGGAAAAGGATGTTTCTTTTTGTGTTGGGAATGAGGAAATTGAATGTGTTAGGTGGAGAATTGCAGCTCTATCAGACCCATTTAATGTTATGCTATATGGTGGCTTTGCGGAGTCTAAATTGAAGAAGATTGATTTTACTCAAAATGGGATATGTCCAAAGGGTATGAGGGCAGTGGAATCGTTCAGCCGGGGAAAAAGGTTGGACCTTTTCTGTCCCATGACTGTTTTGGAGCTCCTTTCTTTTGCCAATAGGTTCTGTTGTGCCGAGATGAAGGGTGCTTGTGATGCTCACTTGGCTTCAATTGTTGGGAATGTTGATGATGCATTGGTACTTGTTGACTATGGATTGGAAGAGAGAGCACCCCTTCTTGTAGCTTCTTGCTTACAGGTGTTACTTAGGGAGCTCCCAAATTCTTTGTATAATTCAAAGGTGATGAATATCTTTTGTAGTTCTGAGGCAAAGGGAAGGTTGGCCTTGGTGGGGTATGATTCTTTCTTACTGTATTACTTCCTGAGCCTGGTGGCTATGGAGGAAAGCATGGTATCTCAAACTACAATGATGTTACTGGAAAGATTGAGGGATTGTGCTACTGAAAGGTGGCAAAAGGCCCTTGCATTCCATCAATTGGGATGTGTGCTACTTGAAAGGAAAGAATATAAGGATGCCCAACATAGTTTTGAGGTAGCAGCTGAACTAGGTCATGTTTATTCTGTGGCTGGTGTGGCCAGAACCAAGTACAAGCAGGGTCTACCATATTCAGCCTATAAGTTGATTAGTTCTCTCATATTTGAGCATAAACCAACTGGGTGGATGTATCAGGAGCGTGCGCTTTACAATATGGGAAGGGAAAAAAAATTTGATCTGGATGTTGCAACCGAATTGGACCCTTCCCTTTCATTTCCATATAAATATAGAGCCCTGACAAAGGTTGAGGAGAAGCAGATAAAGGCTGGAATTTTAGAGCTTGATAAAATTATTGGATTTAAGCTCTCTCCTGATTGCTTAGAATTGCGGGCTTGGATGTTTATTGCCCTTCAGGATTATGACAGTGCCATAAGAGATATCAGGGCATTGTTAACTTTAGAACCAAATTATATTACTTCTCATGGGAATATCACAGGGATATACTTGGTTCATCTCCTTAGCCATGAGGTACAGCAAAAGAGTCAAGCTGAATGCTGGATGCAATTATATGAACAATGGTCTTCTGTAGATGATGTTGGTTCTTTGGCTATTATACATCAGATGCTGGAGAATGAGCCTGGAAAGAGTCTACTGGAATTTCGTCAGTCTCTACTCCTTTTGAGGTAAGCACATTTGTAAATCCAACCTATAGTTAGTATCTCTCTTCTTCGAGTTTCAATTGCTATGGTATTTATTGCACATTATTCTGAATCCTAGGCCTTGAGTTTAGTCATTGTTGATAAGCTTATCACATAGTTTATGGTCCATAAATATAATGTTCTTCCTAATATGAGATATCCAGATATTTTAATTTTTTGAGTGTGTCAATGCTTCCTGGACTATCTACACATTACACAATTCAGTTAATAAAATAAAATATCATGAGTGTTCCTAACATATATGAATTTCATAGGTTAAACTGTCAAAAGGCTGCAATGCACAGTTTGAGGATGGCTAGAAACCATTCTAGCTCAATGCAAGAAAGGTTAATATATGAAGGATGGATTCTATATGATACTGGCTATAGAGATGAAGCTCTGGCTAGGGCTGATACATCTATTACTATTCAGAGATCATTTGAAGCTTTTTTTCTGAAAGCGTATGTGTTGGCTGATACTAGTCTGGATCCTGAATCTTCTTCTTATGTTATCCAACTTCTAGAAGAAGCACTTAAATGTCCTTCTGATGGTCTTCGCAAAGGACAAGTTAGTGATCTCAGCCACCAACCCTATTACTCTTAAGTTTGTGTTCTGCAGTCATTTGATTGTTTGCTGCAATATCTTGTAGGCACTGAATAACTTAGGGAGTATTTACGTGGATTGTGGTAAGCTTGATTTTGCAAAAGCATGCTACAACAATGCCCTTGCAATTAGGCACACAAGAGCTCATCAAGGTCTAGCACGTGTTTATCATCAGAAAAATCAACGAAAAGCTGCATATGATGAGATGACCAAGCTAATTGAAAAGGCAGATAGCAATGCCTCAGCATATGAGAAACGATCAGAATACTGTGACCGTGAGATGGCAAAGGTTGATCTTGATGTAGCTACCCAATTGGATCCTTTAAGGACATATCCATATAGATACAGGGCAGCAGGTACTTAACTTCTCTTTCATTCTTTACCATCAACCATGTGCTTTTTAATGGGAGACAAGGATTTGTTAATAATATGTTTGTTGTGGCATACTTATTTACAGTTAGTTATTAGACTGGCTTTCATGATTGTGAAAAACTTTACTTGCTAAATATGATGTGCTTTTAAAAAAAAAAAAAATCTTATGCTCTGATTCAGTAATGCATAAACCTCTGTTACTGACAACAAAACACATGATGCATATTGGATTTCTTGGCATAACAAATCCCTGAAGCCCAGAAATATGTGACTAAGTTCTGTTTGTAGTTTGATTTGTGCTTCAAATACTAAGTTGGCCCTCTATATTTAAGTTGGTTGGATCTGTACTCTTTGATATCAGTAATTTAAGCATTTGTCCTTGTTTGGGTGGTTCTCAATCTTTGTTGTCATGATCCCATACTACTTCAATTGTGGCACAATATAGGTTGAGAATCTTTTCAAAATTTTATAAGGAATAGAGTATCATTTACACAGAAAAATGTAAATGTCATGCATATTTTTATGATGCTTCACTGTTAAACCTTGTTTTTATATTTGATAATTTAAGGACGTGAGTTTGTCTTTTAAGTATGTTCATGTAAGATTTTACATACATGTTAATGGGTGTGTTTTGGTACCACATGTAATTTGTTGATCTATGAAAATTATTCCTCACTTTGATGCTTGCATCTTGATAGATACTAGTTACTCATCATTATGATGAAATATATAAGCTTTTAATAACTTAAATAGACACCTGACACCAGGACGTAGAAGCCGAAAATTTGTTGATAAATTTGTTTCCAAAAGTTTTACCTTTTTGTAATACTTCTTCAACTTTAGCATCAAGATTTTTTTCCACTGACTTTATAGTGATTAATGTATAGCTATAAATAAGCTAGAAGAGGACAATAATGTATGGCTTTAAATTTATCAATGTTTAAGTTGACTTCAAAAATTGACTTTAATGCTGGCTAGATTAGAGACACGTCACTTGTTCAATCAGGGATTTTACTTACATCAAATGTCACATATAACCAGTGATGATGGATGAGCAAAAAGAAATTGAAGCTGTAGAAGAGCTCACTAAGGCCATAAATTTCAAGCCTGATCTGCAAATGCTTCATCTTCGAGCAGCATTTTATGAGTCAATGGGGGACCTATCTTCATCTCTTCAAGATTGTCAGGCAGCTCTATGCTTAGACCCTAACCATACTGACACGCTTGATCTGTATCAAAGGGCACAAAAACTAAGCTTTTAATCTTAAACAATATGTACATCAGAAGGCTAAAATGTGGATATCTTGGTTTGGAAATTGTTGGAAAATGCCATCTTCATCAAGATACAAGGAGAGGACATAGATTGTGCAATTGTTGAAACGGTGCCAAAACCCAAGAAGCAATACTTGGATAGTTTGAGAAAAAGATGAGTCACATGTTTCACATGATTGAATAGGAGGTTGATTCCGGTGTACATCAAAAGATGTTTAGAGAAGTAAACTACATTCATATGATATAGATTCTTGTGAACCTTGTGCACATAGTTTGTCTCACACGATTCACACATCTCTTGTACAGGGACAGGGTTATAATTTATAAGAGAGAAATCGATACTCGTATCCGACAATGTATGATTTATTGTTCGTGACATAGGTTCTATTTTTCTGCTTTTTTGCCAAAGAAAAAAATAATAATGTGTTTCCAGCTCTCATCAAATAATAATAGCTGTTGATGATGACGGTGATGAGCCACACGATTTCCTTCAAAAAAAGTAGACCTTGCTAATAGACATTCATTTGTCTATCAGGCACCAAAAGAAAGGTAAGGGAGAACACCATAGTCTCATTGTGCCAAATTTTATTTATTTTTGGTATATACACTTGTAATATTATTTAAAGATGCTGGGAGCAGAAGTCATACTCATAACCATGAACAAACTCACAAATACACTATGACAAGATGTAGGCATGTATTGTGTTTGTTTGCTTTTTCTCCTCCAATCTCCATCTTCTCCTAACTTTGGGTGAGTGAAGGCTTCCTGAACATAGAGGTGGGAGACATGCCAAAAAGGTTTTGAAGCTTTACGTTTAGATTGTACAATGAACTTGTTTCCTTCTCATAGCAGGCAAACACAATACATCCCTTTCCCCAGCCCCAGCAGCCATTCCAAAAGATATACGAAATGGTATTAAGGAAGCACTCTCTGTCCCTCCAAACATTTACAAAACCAATTCCTTCACAACGAGGCAAAAACTAGCTGTTCTCTACATGCTATTTCTGTTAGCTTCTAAAGAATACTATAAAATAACATCAGTATAAACATAAAGATTTCAGAAGTGTATGAATTCCAAATTTAGAGTAACTGCAAATATTATCAATAAACTTTTATTTTGGTTATAAGATTAATGTCTCAACTTGAATCAATGGACGTAATTGCCATTTCTGCCCACCAAAGTGGTGATGATTTTGGATTTGCTCCATCAGGCCCCATAGCTGTGATTTCCTTAAGCCTAGCTGTAACTTCTTTCATAGTTGGCCTTTTTTCTGGATCTGGATGTACACAATTTCTTATCATTTCAGACCATTCCTCAATCTCTTCTTCTTGTAAGCAGTTCAGTCCTGGATCCACAACATCTCTTAAGGGTTTTCCTCTCCATACATATTCTGCTGCCCAATCTGCCAAAAGGCCATTGTCTATAGCATGGGGAATTTTTCCTGTTACTAACTCAAATAATATTATCCCAAAGCTATAGACATTGTCCTCTATATGTGCTGATGGTGTTTCCAAGAGTTGTGCGGTTGCAGGCCCCTTCCTTATAGCAACTATGTCATTCCAGAAACTAAGATCTGAAATTTTAGCAGCATAATCTTCAGTTAGGTATATAGAGGAAGATTGCAGGTTTTTGTGGACAATGGGTGGCTTCAGCTCATGCATATGCTCTAGGCAGTACGCTATTCCCATAGCTATCCTCATTCTCATTCTCATTCTCCAGTCTAGTTCTTCTGCTTCTCTAACTGCACCATATGCAAGAATAGAGGCAAAGCTCAAAACAACTCTAATTGCTAGTGCATATTGACAAGGAACTAATCAATGAGATTTTTCTTCAAAATACAAGCCCTCTTTACGGCTTGGTTGAAGAAGCTAGGTTGCTATATATATGCCTGTAATAAAGGATATGCATGTGGATGTAAGTAAATTTGGAACAGAACATCACTCACGGTGTAGATGCTCACAGAGCGTTCCATTTGAAGCGTACTCAAAAACCATCATTCTTGTGAATGGTTTATTCTCTTCACAGTACCCAATAAGATTCACAAAATTCTTGTGGTTCACTCTGGATAATGTTGCAATCTGGAATCATGCAAAGGCGAAGAATTAGTAGCAGGATGATAAATGTGGCGCATTTGCTACAATTGTTGCCGACACATACCTTCTTTCGAAATTGAGCTTCCATACATTTTGACCAGTTTTGAGATGTGGTCACTGATGCTACAGCTATCTCAACTCCACTGGAGAGAGTCCCCTTATACATAGTTCCATCTGGCAGAGAACCAATGATGTTGCTGAAATATTCACAAGCTACTTCAAGTTCTGCTCTTTTGAGATTTGGCACACCTAAACCACACATGCTCAATGAGTAACTAAATCCCTGTTAGATCCCATAATCAAGATTTGAGTAAAATTCTGAACTGTGCAGCGAAAAAACGCAAAACGTGGCTTGTTTACTCTGGGGTAAATAAGAAAATAGCAGGCTAGAATTAATGATATAGTTATATGGCAGGGCAATTTATGCAACAATTATTCGTGTAATTAGGCAGTTATGCAACAGTTATTGGTGCTGCAGCAATTGTTTAGTTGTAATAGGAAAGTTATGTAACAGTAATGTATAATGTGTAGTTATAGGAATGGGTATGGGCAGTTTTCTACGGTAGTGTATTTTTCTGTTTGTAAGGCTGAGAACTGTTTCTCGGAGGAGAGCCTTGGCTCTAAGGCTGGTAGTAACTTTATCTACCATATTTGTGTTGTGTAGTCGGTGTGAAATTTAATAGTTCAGTTTAAAACCCTATCAATCCAACATAAAGATATACTTGTGAAAGTGAAAGGCCTAGGAAATGAATTTATTCTTCATATTGAAACCGAAATTTGGAGTTTGAATCTATTTCTAATCTTCTGAATGAAGTAAATAATGTAAATGTGATCCACCAGAATGACCTGTTGCAAGCACAAATTACCTGTTACAAAAGCTTTCTGCAGCTGGCCACTCAACCCTGTGGACCAAGGTTTAACAGTCACAACCTTCCTACTTTGGAAGCACGTAAGAGTAATGGCTAACACCAAAATCAATAAGGAGAAGCACCCAACTGTAGACCATATTATCACAGAATGATGCATCAGATTGAAACGTTTTGTATTCCCTTCGTTAGAAAATGGAGAAGGGGAAGGTGCTGAAGCCCAGTTAAACTGTGGAGGTGTAGACACAATGGTAGGTGGGTTAGCTGGGGGGGTTATATCTGGACTTGGTAACACTATCGATGAAGGAGAAGGAGTGAAAAAAATACTGGAATGAGATGGTGATGGTGAATATGAAACTGAAGCTGATGTTGATGGTAAATTTGAGGGGCTTTCTGATGATGAAAATTGTGTTGGTGAGAAAGGCTCAGAATTTGGTGATAATGAAGAGGGAAAACGTGATGGTGATTGTTTAAGTATCTCTTGGTTATCATCCCTTTGGATTCTGAGTGTATTAGCTGCATTTGTTACCTTGAGAAGTTGCCTCCTGTATGCTCTATCCCCATCTTGGCCAATGTGACTAAGACAAATGTCACAAATAGGTAATTTTGAACTTGATCTTATGTACTTCACAATGAATGAGCTTGCTTTAAGCAATTATTTTCATGTAAGAGCTAGGTTATGGTAATGAATGCAAGGTGAAGTATAATGTCATTCAATCATTTACTGTGGAAACTGGAAACAGTTCATCAAATCCGATTTTGAGCATGGATGAACTCAGAAATATGTTTCAATCAATTGATCATCGTGCATACCATAAATTACATCTTCCAACAAATGCTTCTCTAGTGGTGGCACCAGTCAGTTGTTCTTCATTAACATCCAATTCAGAAATCATCTTGAGCTTATACCGTTCTGGAGATAAGTTACCTATATAGTCATTGTTATCCAATAAACTGCAATATGAATTTGATAGAGTAAGTAAGCCAAAGAACATGATAGGAACAAAATATTTGGCATGAGAGGATTAATTTACAGGGTTGTGAGTGATGGAATACTGCCAAGGTCAAATGGAAGTGGTCCAGTAAAATTATTGTATCCAAAATCAAGAACTTCCAACTTCTCTAAATGTAATATCTCCTTTGGAATTTCTCCAAAGAAAGAATTGTTGCGCAAAATGCTGCAGAGCATACAAAGAGTATAAAGTTTGTTGAGCAATCCTTATTAGTAAAACATATATACAATGCCATGTCTATCGTCTTACATTGATTTTATGTGAGCCAGCTTGCCAATTTCTGGTGCTAGTGTTCCTTCAAGATAAAGGTCTTTTAAATTCCTGCAAGTTGAACATTCATAATAACTAATGTTCATTGTATATTTGATGCACCAGCGGCACCAAAATATCAAGAGAACAACACTCCACTGAGAATATATTTTGAGGGGGAGAAAAAAGGTAGAAGAAATTTTCTATTTGAGAATTTTTGTTTATTTGAGATTTTTTTAAATAAAAAGTATAAAATTAATAATGATATGTAACAATCTATTATGTTCATTATAAATATTTTTTTAGTTTGAAAAAAAAAAAAACCTGTTTTATCTTCTCTAATTTTTTTCATTCGAGCATATATAATTAGATGGAAAACGTCACTCGATCAACCGAGAAAAAACAAAGCGGTAAACAGAAAAAAAAATTATAAAGATCAAAAAATATATATGGTGCATTTTTAAAAAATAATATATTTTTAATAAATATTGGCAAAAGACCAACTATTTTAATTTAGATATAATACACGAGCGTATATATAATAAATATGAAATTGATAAACCCCACTACTTTGATTTTATCGATTATTATTTGTACGTTGCGTTTGTTAATTTACTCTGATGGGAACATTGCCTTTTTAAAATACAAAAATCCATCATAACAGGCAAAACTCTATTCAAGATGGTTCAGGCATTAATAAAGTCTTTGAAGATAACAAAGGTCGTTTTGTTTTTTGATACATTAACAAAGTCCATTTTCAATTCCATGACGTTTTCATAAAATTATTTTGATTAAAAGCGAGCATAAATAGTAATGAAACTGAATAAAAAGTAGTCACACCCTTTAATTTCATCTGTTATCCCCTACAATTTTCAAAATAAAATTTATTTTCTTTCTTTTAAATATTCATTTAGTGCTTGGTGTAATACACAATTCAGTGTAATGTTTTTTGAATTATACTTTGAATAATAACTTTTTTTCATAAAATATTTAATTACTATATTATTATATACTTGTCAATTCCAAATTGTAATGCAGAGCAAGTGATCTCACAAGACCTAGCAAGATAATATGTAACAGAATAGCTGCTATTCTAAAGTTTTAAAATACGCATAACATAAATTACATTTTATAAACTCACACACTCTCCTAAAATGTTCATGATTAAAAATAACACCTAAAATTAAATATATTGATTTTAGAGAAAGAGAAAACTGAATAATTTGTAAAGAAAGTTATAAGTTCAAATTTTTATATCATTATCTAAAGATATGTGAGTGCCACTTCATATGAATTTGTTTCTATAATGCGATAGTGTGGTTTGATATTAATCTTTTAATATTCATATCATTCAACCCCCAGCATCTCCGATAAGATGTGCAGAATGACAGCCAATATTAAAACTCAGTTCTTTGTCGACAAATAAGACTAGTCACCATTTAAATTGGGTAAATCTTAATTAATACTCTGGAGAAAGTATGTTATACTTTATTACGTGTAGAATTACTATATCAGAGTTAATTTTAAGATATTAAAAAAATCATAATCTTTAATTTAAAGAAGATATCTAATGCCTCCTTAAATTCAAGAGTATCATTCTAAGCACCTTTAAATTATAATGACAAAAAAAAAAAAAAAAACTCTATTCAAACGTTTGACCGTTGACAAAAAACGTTTGACCGAAAAAAAAATCCATTAAAAAGTGTCCTTAGTCGCAACGGCGTCAAAAACCCTTCAAGGACGTGTTTCTCTTCAGATGAAATGCAAGTGTGAGGTCACTTGCAAATTTAACAAATTCAGTTTCATAGCACATAGATGAGGCAAAAAAGATAAGAATGTATAATGGAAAAAGTTACTTACAGTCTGACAACATTGCCATGGGAACACTCAACCCCGAACCACGAGCATGGATCAATGCCTTCGCCATTCCAGCTTGCTAATGCCCCGAAAGGGTCCTTCACTACCCTCTCCCTCAACGCTAGCAGCGCCAAGCCTGTGCCATATGAAACGACACACCGTTTTCGTAAAACTCGCTTAAAACACCAAACGAACCTTTCAGCGCCGTCGTTTTCTTAACCATTACCTTCGCTGTTCAGCGTCAAACAGAGACTCTGCTTTTGACCTAATGGAAACAGAGTCAACACCACCAGCAACAACACCGTTAACGGAGGGAATGATGTGCACGCTTCTGGCATTGAAGCAAATTCTGTGTTTGACGATAGGGAAGGGGAAACAAGTTAGAGAGGGAAAACCAGAGTGGTATCTCCTTATATAGCGCCATACTGAGAGTAATAAAAATCCATTAATTAGGTTACTAATGGCAGTATATTTAAACCTACCAAGCATTCCTTCATTTTAAAATGGTTCCTGTATCGTATCCATCATGCTATATCACAAATATTTTATTAAACATTTTCAAGTAAAACGTCAAATTCGTCCTACAAGTGGCATCATTAGTTAATCTATTTGTTGACGTTAAATTAGTAATAATAATTTTCATTTTGATAAATACCAATTAATTTTAATATATGATTTTTTTTGTTATTTTAATTTTTAACATTATCTATTTAATTTGTAATTTTGATAATTTTTTACTGTTAGAAATAAAATTAACTAATGTACATTAAAATAAAAGATTAAATTGATGAATAATTATTACAATTGTGGATTAATTTTTTTTACCATATTAAAAACTAATTTATATTTATATTTTCATAATAAAATCGGCCAATGATAATACTAGTTTAAGGGGTTATATTAAGTTTTTGTTGTACACTAATGATTTAACCTGTATTTTATTTTTTTATTAAAAAAAGATGTATTCTTAATTAACTTGCATTAATTTTATTTTATTTTTTAAATTATTTTATTACATTAATAATTATTTGTATGTATTACTAACATGAGTTAGTAAGGAAGTGGTGAATGAACGAATGAAATTTTTTAAAATGTTATATATAATAAAAAAAAATAGTTTAGATCTTTGATATGTAATTTAATAATATTAGTTTTCATATATTTATAATTTAATTTTTAGTAAAAATTTATAAAATTACTCTTTAAACTTTCAAAATTTGTTATTTTATATCTTGATATGATTGTATTAATAGTTATATTTTATTTTTTAAAACAAATATTATATGCATATCGTATTTAGGTAGTAATTTAAGAAAGTTGCATTTACATATGATGATACAATTTTAATTTTTAATTAAAAATATTTTTTAATTAATAGATGTTGAATGTTATTTTATATCTTTTGAGTTTTCTGACAACTTTATGTATAAAGTTCATAACTTTTAAAATTAAAATTTTTAAATCAACTCTCACAATTTTAATTTATTATAAAAATTAGTTTTTGTATGAATAGATTTTCAATATCATTTTATACTTTCCTCGTGCCTCCAAGTATATTGATTGCATCTAGTTCACATAATTTTTACAAATTTTTCTTAAGTCATTTTTTTTTTTGCTTAAGTGAAAGTTATGAAAAAAATTGGCTCACGGGATGAACACTTTAAGCAATCATTAATTCGTTTAAATCATACAAGATATTTTAATATTTGTTTAAGCAAATAAAGTTTTATCTAAGTGAAGATTGAGTATCTTATTTTCGCTTAAGTCAAATTATTACAACTTAAGCGAATATTAATAAAACATGTATATTCATCAACGTATAATATTAGCTTAAGTGAATATGGTATAGCTTAAGCAAAAATTATAAAGAATGATGTTTCTGCATTTTTTAACATTCAAACACATCTTTTTAGTCATTATCATTATTTTTATTTATCCAAATTATTTGTTTCTAAGATAATTAAGATAAATATATAATATTTACAAATTTAATTAGTTTTATTTTCAATTATCACAGCTGAAAGCATGATAGTGTAAAGAGGTTGTTAGATTTGAAAAACATATTTACCTGTTATTTGAGAGGAAAAAAATAAAGAAGAAATTGAAGTAGAATAAGAAAGAACTGAAGGAATTAAACAAAGCTTACGCAACACTATATCAAGTGGAGATTACTTGATTCTATTTAATCTCTTATTTAAAATATTTTTTTCAAATTTTTATTGTTTAAATTTTAATCATAACTGCTAAATTTATTGAACTAATTATTAGAATATAAATGAAAAAAAATTTACTTCGTTAACTTTTACTTTAAAAAAAATACTTTTAAAGCATTTATTTTCAATATCTAATATTTAAAAATCTTTAATTTTAAACTCTAAATCATTAATTTATAAAATTTATTAAGAATAAAATTATAAATACTATAACTTTTAAAATTTTTTATAGCATCTCATTTATTAATTTATTTATGAATCATATAATATATTAACTCACATTATGTAATTTATGTGTATTATATAATTTTTAAAATTAATTATATTTAAATGTTTGCCTAATAAGAAAAGTATTAGTACATTGGTGTTAAAATAATTCTTTTGAATATCTTAATAATTCTCGCTCTTTTTTAATAAAGAATTTTCAAACATGCGTGCTTTCAATTTTATCATGGTGTATAGTTTTTTACCATACATACGGCACCCAATTAGCATACATATTTTTTGCTTTAATTTCTATATTTAAAATTTATCAGTATATATATAATCAGTGCATTTGACTTTACTGACTTAGTAGTTCTCTAGTGACTAGTTACTGAGGTGAGTGTCTTTTTGTTTGCCCAGTCCACCTGAATATAATTTCTACGTGCATTTAGATGTTCAACCGTTGACTACTTATCATATACCCACCAATTCCTAATCCGAAGCATTTACAATAATATACACCTAATCTATCAGACATGTTAGCTTTAAATTTTAAATTGCTATCCAATTTCACAAATAAAATCTTTAAAGTAGACAGGAGATACTTTAACTTTGAACGAGTACACACAGGTCCATATTTGTATCATTTAATTGGACTATCTAAATAGAGCCTTTACATAACAATAATCATTACAATAAAGATTATTTTACTCAGTTAGTGGGAATTGTATGACTGCTATGTGGACCAAATTAAGTTATCTGAATAAGTTAAAGATAAGGGAGGATTTGTAATTTTCTATTGAAATGATATATGTTATGAGTCTTAGTCATACAATGATGGGTGATGGTGAATATAAGAGGAAATGAGGATGTCATTACTTGAAAAACAAGTACAGAAGATGGGTTGGGGGAGCCAATGCAATATTCCATTTGGCAATTAATTAGATAAGGGATAAAGATATCCAACCTTCTTTGAAACTGACCCCACTAATCTAAGCTAAGATCATTTGCACCCCTCTCAGCATTTTTTTTTTCATATATAGATTAATCAATATTTTAGAGGAAAATCTAAGGTAGAATATCTTTCCCTTGTAAATAATTCTACACTTTTAGTTTTTTTTTTCCAGAATTTTGCTCCTCTAAATTTATACATGTAAAGTAAAGAAATGTAATCTTAATTTAAATTTAAACATTTTATAAATATAAAAAATTTAAATCAATAGTATATAAATTATTAACTTTTTATTTTATATATTTCCCATTTTATATATACTTTTTATTACTTTAATTATATTTTTATTTAATATAAAATATCTTAATAATGATCATTTAAAAATTTTAATTAAATAAGGACAGTACATGCACATAAATTTAGATAAGCTATTATAATATTTATTTTTTGTACTCTTATTTAAAAAAAAACGCATTTATTCTTAAATTTTTGTATATACCATTAAACAAATGGATCAATTAGTAAAATGATTGTTCTAATTTAATTTATATCACAACAAATGTAATCATGTTAAATATTTTTTTAAAAATTACCTTTTATAATAATTTTACTTGTTCGATAAGATTATTTCTAATAAAAAAATATGTATAAATTAAAAAAAAACTTGTTTACGTAGACAATAACTTTAATATTTATCTTTTTATATTATGAATATTTATATTTTAAATCCATTACTTGTACTTTTATTTTTAAAAAATTGTTATTTTATAAATTAATTAAAAATAGAATTTTGTTAACCTTAATTTTTATGACTGAGAATAAGCAGTTAAAAATAGTAAAATTTTATTAAAAAAAATATTTATTGTACTTTTATAATTTTAATATAATAATTATATATATTTTTAAAAAAAATTATATTATGAATGCTTAAATTCTACCATTTGAAGTTAACAAAACTCTTAAAAATAAAGCTATTAGATAGTTGACTATGACTAGCATGCTTCTTGACCATCCAATTAGAAGAAAGACCTCGTGACAACGTTACAATACAGCCAATAAATAAAAATTGTAGTTTCTCAGGACAAAGTAATATGAATGTAACTATTTGTATATAACAAATTTTTATTAAAAAATTAATATGATTTAATACATTGATGATGATAATAATAATAATAATAATAATAATAATAATAATATTAAATACTAGAATGTTTTATAAAAATTTATCATATCATATGCAAGGAGGTTAAAAAAATCAATATATTCAATAAATGAGAGTTAAAAAAAAATTAAATAGTAGAGTATGCATATACGCTGATGAATAAATAATTTTTCCTCTCATCATTGATAATTTTTATAGGTAGTATAACTAGCTTTGAATTTAATTATCATTCCTAAATCCAAATTATAATATTAAACTTATAAAAGTCAATATACAAATTTTTCAATTAAATTAGTTTAATAACTCGTATAATGTACAACAATTTTATTTATAATAAATATACATATAATTTAATAAATAAAAAATGAAATTTTATATTTTATGAAATAATTATATATATTATTTTAAATTTATTCTATAATTATAAATAATATGTATCAAAATCATAAAGATTTAGTAAAATTAAAAAATTTTAAAATATAATTTATTTTAAAATAATAATTTTTATTGTATAATATAAAAAATTAAATTAAATACTAACCATCAATATATATTAATAATCATAAATTTAAGAGATAAGACTCATGAATATATACTCCAAATGTCAAAGAATAAAGAAAAATTAAGATAATTTTTATAAATATAAAAATAAGTCAAAAAAATTAAAAATTTATATAAAATAATAAAAAATTAAGGAAAATTTTAATTTTTAAAATTTATAATAAAATTAATAAATATGTGAATAAAAGAAAATTTGTGAACAAAAAGAGGTGTAATTTACACATCATCACTAGTCAATTTTAATAC